CCTCATTTTCATGGTTCAGTGGTTAAAGTTAAGTTTTTGTGTTTTGGTCTATTTTTCTTATACTGTATGCAATAGGTCTACTATATTTGGTGTATGGAATGATTGTAAGGTGTACATGTCTAGCTGGCATGTGTCTTCTGACCTTGACCTCATTTTCATGTTTCAGTGGTCAAAGTTAAGTTTTTGAGTTTTGGTCTTTTTTTCTAATACTATATGCAATAGGTCATCTATATTTGGTGTATGGAAATATTTTATAATGTACATGTCAGTCTTGCAGGTTTTATTTGACCTTGACCTCATTTTCACGGTTCTTTGCTCAGTATTAAGTTTTTGTGTTTTGGTCTGTTTTTCTAATACTATAAGCAATAGGTCAACTATATTTGTTGTATGGAAGGATTGCAAGCTGTACATGTCTGCCTGGCATGGTTCATCTGACCTTGACCTCATTTTCATGGTTCATTGGTCAATGTTTAGTTTTCTTGGTTAAGTCTGTATCTTAGAAACTATAAACAATAGGTCAACAATATTCAGTGTATTGAATGATTGTAAGGTGTACATGTATTTCTTGTTTGGTTTATATGACCTTGACCTCATTTTCTTGGATCATGTCAAGTGTATGTGATAGTTGTAGTAAAGCTTTATATTTAGAACTATCAACATAATATCAATGATTAGTAAAGAAGGCGAGACATTTCAGCGTGTGTACTCTTGTTGCATTTTCCTGTTAACTGGAAAACTATTAAAGATAGTTAGAAACTTAAGATAGAAAAAACGTTCCACAAGGCAAGATCTGAAAATATGTAGATATCGCTGACATCTTTGGTCATCATTTTAAAGAAGTTTGTGCCCTTAAATGACAATTTTTACCCTTTTTTATGTTTTTGCTTTTATCTTGAAAAGTATAATAGATAAATGAAAACTTTGAAAAGCAAAAAAGATCAGCAAGAAAGGAAATACTAATAAGTCAAACACTGCTGAAATTTTTAGTCTATTCCTTCTTGGAGTTATTGCCCTTAAATGACAAATTTAAGACTTCTTTCGTGTTTTGGGCTTAAAACTATAAAGGATAGAGAGAAACTGTAAACAGAGAAATGATCAGCAATAAAAGATCAACAAAAAAGAGATTTTAGTCATGAATTATATTGTAGGCTACAATGTTTGAAGGTGTCCATTGCACAAATACCTAGGTTAGCGACAATGGCTCTTTATAACTTTTAGTTGGGTTTCTTTTTTGTGCCATTTAAATGCTTGGCTGCTTGAAAATGGTCTAAACAGGACTCAGGACTTGTGCTTTACATACATTATATGTAATGGTCAATAAAGAACAGCCATATTTTGATTTGAAATCATGAAGAAGCAGAATGTTTCTAATTTTTTGTAAAATTTGAATTTCCTGATAAAGAGTTATGGTATATAAAAATTTGATATGTATATAGCATCATATTTTTCATTTAAAAATGAGATACTTTATGGCTTATTTCACTAGTGGTTTATGCACTGGAATAGAATTCAAGTGCTCTAGAAGGGTAGGCAGTTTCTTCTCCACTCATGTCACCTGTCCTGTTGCTCATAGAAAATACAATTCTGATGATAAGTGAATTCTTACCATAAATGAGCAACGGGAATGAGATAATGGTTCTGTTAAGTGGAACATATCCATCGTCAGGTCATGTTGATCTTTAATATATGCTCAACTGGCTTTAGTTTCTATTTTGTTTTTGCCAGAAATCGTATCTTGTATACAAAAGATGCAAGATGATATAAACCTACATACATGTTCTCTTCAGAAGTAGGTAAACATTCGTAGAAAAGTAGGTGCTTTGGTTCATGCTGATATCTTTATTTATGTGGCTCTATAAGAAAAGGTCATCTAAACTTGCATGAGGTGCATATTAAATGATAAAACTAGGGATGACAACAAGTACTCCGGCACTTGCAAGGAAGATTGAGTACTGGAGTGCAAATTTCATACTCCAATGTTAAGAAAAAAAAAAATTTATGTGTTCCTCTGAGTTATTTGAAATGTCCCCTTTATTGTTACAAGAAAAGTATTCTCGTTGATGTCAATAGGCTCATTAAAACTTCAGTAGAAATCCGCCACCAAAATAGGCTGTCTGGACTTATTTCAGAAAATTGTCAAATGGTTGTACTGTAATTGTCCCCAGTATGTTGCTTAATTAATATTTGTGGTGGCACTTTAAACATCCATAACCATGTAAAAGTGAAACATCCTGTTAGTGCCTGTCTAAATCACATGCAAAACAGTAATCTATCACAAATTTCAAACTTATAATGTATTTTAATTGACTCTCATCTGATGTAGTATACAAAATTTACTTCTTGAATAAGAATAGAATTAAATCCCTTTGTGAAGGCCTGCATGGGCTAATATTATTAGACATTTTGTCATACTCTGACGATGTTTATACAGCAATTGACAGTTCACCAGTAGTTAATCTTTGAAATACGTTTGATTTTTTGTGTATCAAATTGTCTTTTGTATTGCTCATGGTTCATTAATTAGATGATTTGAGGGTATTAAGAGAGTGATCACAACAACAAAAAAATTTACTCTTAAAACTTGATATTATCAAAGTACTTGAGTACTCACTAGTATTTGAACTGAGTACTCTAGTATTGATTCTACAACATTTGCCATCCCTAGTTGAGTCCTTCTTGATTTCTTAGGTTTCTGGTATCCTAAAATGTATTTAACTATTTCCTTTAGTATCATCTAAGGATGGCAGATGATACATGTCTTTCTTGGAGGTGTGAATCAGTAACTAGTAAACCAATTATAATCTGACACAGTCATTTTGATCTGAACAGCTTTTAAAAGACTGAACAACAAATTATTAAGTCATTTTCAGTATTTCAGTCAATTTTCAAATTTATCCACTGCAGTAAATTCAGTACTGTTCAGACAATTGGCTTGTAGTCAATTAAGATCTGTTCAGTCTATGTTCAGATTGTTCAGTAGTTGTTATTTACCTGTATATATCAACATCATACTGAATTGTCTGAAAATCTACTGAACAGTACTGAATTGACTGCAAGCAAATTGTATGGACAGTACTGAGTTTACTGCAGTGGATAAGTCGGAAAATTAATTGAAAGACTGAACATGACTGAAAAATTTGTTGTTCGGAACTTCAGACTTATCAGATGATGATAAGATCAAAATGACCATTTCAGACTTTAATTCATTTATGAATCATTTTACATGTATATAGTTAGGAGGTTTTATCATGAGGCATTGACCAAAGTACTAACTGCAAATAAGTACCGGTATTCCTTCAAGTGATGGACCCTGGGAGCAATTAGATAAAAAATGGTTCTTATTGGAGTTTTTTACTTTTTTGGTCTTTCACTGAAGCCATGTTGCTGTAAGTGTGGTATACAGTTGACACTTAGACTTTTGGAAAATGTATATATATATATATATATATATACAAGTCTAAATTGAAAACAACGTTCAAACCTATGGTTGCGTTGGATAAAAACCGCAATTTTTATACGTGTGCATGCAATACAAATTTCTTGGTAGAAGGGTCTAAATACAGCACAAACAACATTTTCCAAAAGACCAAAAAAGTGAAAAAGTATATTTTAACAAAACGCATTTGACTAGCAGGTCGAACAACGGATGTTTTTAAACCCTGCTGATTGCCATTGGCGATTGCCAAAAAAAATGATCACCAGATGTAACAAAATGGATCTGAACTATTAATTTAATACCAAACAGAATACAATAAACTTGTGGAAAAGATGGTATACAGCAAACAAAAGGTGCAAAAATTAGTACACCATACCCAGATTTCGACAATTATTGTCTCTTCAGTGATGTTAGGAATCGAAACGGTATTTGGAAGGCCATATAATTTACCTCAATTTAGGATAGACTCTTGAATTTTGAAGAGTCGAAATAGGATGAACGGATCATATAAACCCGGAAGGCAAATATAATACAAGCCCAAACGAAAAAATATAAACAAGTCTAAATTGAAAACAACGTTCAAACCTATGATTGCGTTGGATAAAAACCACAATTTTTATACATGTGCATATATATAAATATTACTAAAGATAAATGAATTTTTTCTCTTGTTCTTTTCTATACTGCTCTTATTGAACTGGACATATGAATTTTCACTAAGCACCAGTTTTTAAATGTTCACTTAGGATGATATATGGTATTCCAGCTGCCAGATTTGCTGCTTATAAGTCCTGATCCTTTCTTAAATCCTGTTCCCAGCCCTTACTGCAATGAGAACTATATTGAACAGATTGGGAACAGAATTTGCAATATGGTCGGGATACATATTATGACAATGGTTTGCTTGGACTCATCACATGACTTATCAAACTTTTTGAAGATTTTGTTGGATGAAGAAAGGGGGTGCAAATTTAGGAAAATGTTGATATTAGCTTTGAAATGACATTAGGACAGGAATATTTCTGATTGACTGACATTTTTGTATCAAGTGTATCATATCAGATACAGTACTTAATCACTGTAGATTCATTTATTTTTGTGGCTTGAGGAAAAATTGTATTCGGTAGATATTTGATTTCATGGTTTGGCAAAAGTCTTCATACAAGCCTTTAGAAAATTTGTACATTGTTGAACATTTTAATTTGTGGTTTACCTGTATACCAACAATATCCACAACCATTAGTACCCCACAAATAGTCATGAATCCACAGTACACAATTTCTTGTTTATGTTTTTGATACTGATATAATCAGGTTATTTTCAAATTGATTTATTAAAGTTTATATTTCAACATATTCAGTTAAACCTCTAATATACATTTTAATATTATATATTATAGTCATATATCTCAATAGATTATATAACTATAGACAAAGTTATTATTAACATAACCACATAATAAGGTTGTCCTTTCCCTCCAGACAGAATACCATTTACTGAAAATTGTATTACACTATTAAAGGGGTGGTAGTACTATCATAGGAGAATAGCAGTGAACCGTGACCTGTTTTTATAATACACTGTTCACTTTACCAAAAGACATAAGTCGTAAGCAGATGATTTTTTCTAAACAGTATGTTATGTTGACAGAATAAATGGATGTTATATGTGCACCAGTGCAATAGTCGTGTTTTCAATTTGAGCATTTTTTTTTTCTAGTTCAAAAAGGTGTTTTTTAAGAAGTGTTGTTTTTTTTATATCTGTGACTGATTTATGGATGTAAGATAAATTTAAACACAAAACGTTGTAATCTTGATCAAAGATATTTACTCAGGATGTGTTTAACAGACTCTAATAATCATTTTAAATGAAGTAAAAAAGGTTTTGATCCTAATTAGCCAACTTTATATACAGATGATTTGTGGAGGAGTTATTTATTTTTCCGTTCATAAATTGGAGAATTAATTTTACAATTAAACTACAATTTGAATCGTCTAGAATTTTTTCTGTGGGAATATTTTTTAAATTTTGCATCACAATGTGAAATATAAGAATGACGTTTCCAAAAGTGGATTGGGATTAATTTCAACTTTTCAATCTTAATTAAAGGTAAGTTTAGATTATATTAATATGAAATTTATTGGATATGATAAATAGATTCAGTAGGTTGTTTACTTTCATAAATATATAAGTATGTTGAAACAAATAAAGTAGAAAGCATGTAATGGTTCGGCTTACTTTATCATTTAAAAATTACATTAGCATAAAGGGTTTAATGTAGAGGAATGTTAAAAAATAGATTTTAATAATTTCATTCGTTTACATAACACAATATTTGAAGGTACAGTTAACATATAAAAGTATGTTTTATTTAAACGTTAAAGACAACACAATAGTTGTTCAAATTAACAAGTAAAAAATATCTTTTTTGCTATACCCACACCCTTTCACCACATCTCTTTCACTCACCCACTGTGTATTTGACAAATTGCATTTGTTTCATGGCTTTCAAACATATTATTATGCAGAAAAATATATCAAGTAATAGCATAACTTTTCAGAAAATTTTGATAGAAAACTTCTTTTTTTTATTGTTGCTGATATTAAAAATTTTGGGTGGAACTGTTATTGTAAAATACTTTCATTTTTGTTCTTTATGATTTTAAGATAGGTGCAAAAATGTGTAAATGAAAAGAAGCTGTGAAATATGAAAAACATGCCAAGAGGGTTGATCCTTTCCTTGGTAATCAAATACATGCACAAGTTTTTATGCAATAAGCTATTCAAAACAAACATTATAAACCAAATGTGTGCATCAGAGCCAAATATTTTCATTCAAATTGTTCAACTTTTATCTTCTCTTTTGAAAACAGTAGACCGAAAAATTCACATAAAAATCTTTTGATAGTTATTATTTGTTTGGTATATATTCTGCATATTAATCAGGGATATAAATGTTTTGTAAATTATATACATAGAAAGATGAATTTTAATATCTCCGAAACTTAGATGTTGGTATATATAACAATGTTGTAGACTCCCTTGGATAAAGTTTTAATTGAGGTGTTAATTTTAGTGGATCTTACACTTCAACAGGAACAAATATATGTTAGATATACTGTTCCCAGCACTTCAAGAGTTTGAAGAGACAGGGGTGGCTTAGGAAAAACAGAAAACCCAAGAAAACCCCAGCCTTTCATTCAACTATTAGATACCACAGAAAAGTAATTATATTTGGTTTGATCCACTAGATTTAATTTGCAGATTTTGATGAGTGAGAATACAAATAAAATATCACCTCTGAAAATTAAATTAATCATAGAAAAATAGAATAGAATTTAATAATGACATTTAAGATTTTCTTTAGTATTGATGGAAGTAATCTGATGTTCCGTATTCTTTAGTGTGATAATAAAACTTTTGGGTCTATGAATGGAGATATAGGTGACCGAAAATATCCTGGGAATAGTTTATTGGTAAATAACATACATGTCTTGTAAATATTTACCTGCTCATTTGCATAAAAAATTAATTAAATCTGTAAATCATTTTTCACAGTTGACATAAAAAGGAAATTGGGTCCTGGAAATTTAATTAAGGACTTGAATATGACCACATGTAGATCATAAAATTTTGTGTCCTCTTTTATGGCATTATAACATTTATTCCTTTGACCAGTAAAAAGGCCAAAACAAGTTCAACGGAGTGATAATCTTTTTAAGAATGTTCTGTTCCAACCATAGATTTAAACAGTTGAGCTGGTTAGGCAGAAACATTTAGCTGCTGCTATAGGTTGATATCTTGAAATGACAAAATGATGTGACTGTGTCAAATGTTCTTTATTTATATACATGTACTTTAATTCACTCTTTGTTCCTCTTTCATTCAGTATGTCTGCAAATTCATTGACTGAAAGTGGCTACACATAGTAATGTGATCTTCAGGTTTAATAGTCAGTTGTTTGAAGTATAAATTTAGGTATTAGACTTTGTGATCTAATAATCCCTTTGTCTTAATTTTTTGTACAATTCACCTTTTGAAGCTGAATGAAAACTATAGGATTGTTCTAGTTTCAAAAATAAAGTTTATGAATAGGAGTTTCCGCTTCCCTTAAAGATTTTCGGAAGGATGTACTCGAGTTAAAAAGGTTTATTTTAAGTAGATACTTCTGTTTTGAGTATATTAAGAAACATCAATTAAATCAGTGGTTGTTGGGGGAGGATAGACTACTGGTTAGAAAAAAAATAATTGGTAAATTTTACGGGGGATTGACAAATTAGATCGGATATTGTTTAGGGAGGATTGACAAATTAGATCAGATATTGTTTAGGGGGGATTGACAAATTAGATCAAATGTTGTTTAGGGGGGATTGACAAATAAGATCAAATGTTGTTTAGGGGGGATTGACAAATAAGATCAAATGTTGTTTAGGGGGGATTGACAAATAAGATCAAATGTTGTTTAGGGGGGATTGACAAATTAGATCAGAAGTTGTTAAGGGGGATTGTTGGTGAAGGATAAACTAATGATTAGAAAGAATTAAAGCAGTTGTTGTCGGAGGATTGATAACTTACAGACAAATTAAATCAGTTGTTTTTGGGAAGGAAAGATAACTAATTAGACAAATTAAATCCCAGGTTCTTGGGTGAGGATCAGCAACCGATAGACAAATTTAGTCAGCTGTAATTTGGAATTACTGACAGACAAATTGATACAACAGTTGAAAAGGCACCAGACGATAACACCATCACCCCCTTTCTTCTTTGTTACTTTGTACTTTAGGATTTTTGATTAAATTGTAATTGTCTTTAATATGCAACTTATGCTTCCTTCGAACTATGTGGTTTTTTTTTTCTCTTATCCATGCAATCTTACAATATCTGTTGTTTATACTCTTAGTAAGGCATCATGTATAAACCACAGCTATTGATAAGAGCAAGAACATTAAATAAAATGAAATATGAAAGAAAACATGTTAAAAAATCAAAACACACACAAACACTCAAAAGGTGAAAAGGGGGGGGGGGGGGGGGGGGGGGGGGGGCACGCAACTAAAATTCCATGAATTCTAATAAGAAAATTTTACTATTTAAACAATTGATATAAGTAAATATGGCTTATTTTCAAGTGATTATCTTAAGCTTTGAGTATTTGTACTACCTCATATAAATGATAATGACTGTTCTTGCTGGATGAGTCTTAATAGTGAGATAGACTCAAGTATCGAGTAGAAAATTGTAACCATATATTATTGTTTAACTTGCAGTTTATAAAAGATTGATCTATTCAAACATTACCTTGCAGTTTGCATTAAAAAGAAATTGCAAATTCATTGATAATATATACGATTAGAGGTTATTATTTGTTCACAACTCTTTTAAACACAATTATCAAATGCAGTTTTGTATAAAATATTTGTCAGTTCTGGACTCACACGCTGGTGTTGAAAACTGGTGTTTATTTAAGAAGTTATGAATCCATCAATCACACAGTAAAACTGCTACTTGGTAAAATTTAATATTGGGTTTAAACCTGGTCTGGTTACCTAATACAAATATCAGTCCAGCTGGGCCAAACAATACACAAGAATACCTTACCTCATCTACTGAAACTTCAAAAACTTTTCTTAATTACAGGTAGACAATTGTTGATAGGTAAACTCTTTACTTATTAATTAGATCAAGGGCACCTGTTGCCAAGGTGTGAATGAAGCAATAATAAATGAGTGATAATGATTTGTTTGATTTTAGAGCTCCTTATTTATTTGATATAAAGCCAGTTACATCACATGAAATGGTTTTATGGTTACTTATCACAAGGCTGTAAAATTGGGAAAAGCTTGTTGAAGTTTGCCAAAAGTATTTTAGTCTGACACAAGCATGGAATTATTGCTTCTGACCTTGGATTGACACCTTATAACACTATGACCTCCTTTTGTGTAGTCTTTGGCAGTAAGTGTACTAACAATGGATTTAAGGACATCATAGTTTTGTACATTTAAAAGATAGTATAGCAGATGCAATTGCATTAAAGTTACTTATCATAAAATAACTGAAACTGCCAAATTTTTACTTTTTTCTGGTAATTTTTTTCTATTTTGGATTGAAATATGTATAACCATTAGTAAACAGAATATTTTTGGATCAGGTGAATACCACTTTATCACATAACCTTACATATTTCTCTGCTGTGTTGATTTGACGGAAATTAAACATTTTGTATGGGACTTCAAATTAATTTAGAAATTGTATTTAAACTTTAAAGAAAGGCATGGAAAATACAAATCTTTAACTTTCTTATGTGTGGTGACGTAATCTTTTGGCTTGCATTGTTTGATACCATTAAAACAACAAAATTCACTTGATGAGGACAAAAAAATTGTGTTTAGACATTGATAGAGATATTTTTTTTCTTCCTTTCTATGGAATATATACAACTTGGTTAAAGGTACAGTACAAATTTTTACTTTACAGAAATGTTTATAAAAGTAACTATTCAGGGATCATGGGACCGGCATAAGTTCCTGGCTCAAATTGTTAGTATAAGCAAAGCTGAGATTGGGCCAGGACACCAGGCTATCATGGGACACACACAAAGTTGTCTTTCATATACTTCAGTGCCTTTAATAATACAAAATAGGTTTGAAAATAAACAGAAACAGAAACATTACCATTACACAGTATACTTATCCCCTCTCCCTGCCAAAAAAAAAATCCATGGTCCTTTATTGTCCTGATAGGTTGAGGAGAGAAAATATCTTTGTTTTTCAGTGGTATGGAAACAACTGTCTTACATTCTTGTTTCACTGTTCTGAAATCTTATCATGACAAAATAGATAAACAAAAACATGTCTTTAATGTCCCTTGTTCTTTTAATTTTTTCCAATATGCTTATTTAACTATTTATCAAACTGGACAGATAGACTGGTATATTTTATCCATGATGCTAAAATAGATCTGTTAAAGATTTACACCTAACATTTACATGTAATCACAGCTTATAGTGGTATAAGGTATATTTTGTCCCAGGTCACAACACCTACAATTCAAAGAAATTTAATTATTTTAATTGGTCAGTTTAACCAAAGAAACTATGTCTACATCTTATT